TGTGTGTGTGTGTGCACTGCTGTGGCTGTAGATGGTAAGATCACCCCGTTTTGACAAGAAGGTCTCTTGGGCCTAAGCCTTTGGTCTCTTCAACCCCCAGATTAATGAAAAAGACAATCCAATCTCAAAGTGAAGATATTTGATGTTAGTTTTGTTACATTGGGGGGAAAAACATCCTTCTGTCTCTTGTGTTCCATAGGTTTTCAGGAAGATAGTGACAGTACATTAGAAAAGTAGCCAGTGGAGGGTTAGAGTTTAGGGACATCACTGCCCATGGCATCTTCATGCATAAACTCATGTATTAGTGTGCATTATACTGACGATTGTTGCTTTGGTGGATTGATCCCACTACTCAGAAGGGAAGGGAAAAGGCCTTATATATTATTGTCATATTAAAACAGCATGAGCAAAACATCAGTTCATTAGAAGCCTAATGATACTGATGTCCAAATGTGGGGCTCTTCCTGTTCAGAGCACAGGTTTGTACACAGCTTAGTTGTATATCGACCTTAATCATAAGAAAGATATGTGGTTGGAAGGGTTATAATATTGAGCTGCTTCTTACCACAAGCTTTTTCCACTCTAAAAACTAAACTAGTGTTTTTCTGTAAGAGTGCAGCAGTTCTCTGCAGTATATTACCAGTTTTGTAGAATTTCCACTGCAACCAGACCAACTCAGATAGAGGCCTCCCAACAGAATGATAAAGAATCAGAGTGTTTATGTTTTTACTGTAAATAGCACAAGCTTTTTGAGGCTGGAGAGAGATATATTTTTGTAATGGCTGGACTTAATGGCCTCACACAGCCAGACCACATCTCACAAGCTCAGGTTTCATTAAGAGATTTAAGTCTGGTAACAACCACTCGAGAACCGATTACAACCAATCAGTAAACATTTAGATGATAACATGGCTTGCTGGATCTATAAACTCCCAACATCAGTATCTACTACCTGTCTGAAGGAGGAAACTCATCTGCCATATTTTTTATCAATAAGATTGATCATATCATGGTTAATGGCACTTGTATTTGTGCAGTTTCCTTTCCCCTGAATTGCTTTAGGCTGAGGCACTCGAATGTTTAGAGAGGTAATAGGGGCTATGTGCCACTCTAATCTGCAATAAAGGCTCACCTTCTTCTTGATGTGTACCAGATATTTTGACTACTGCTGAAGGGATCTTGTCTTGATCCCACAGAAAACCTTGATTGATTTCCAAACTTACCATTTCAAAAAATCTTCAAAGAAAGAAGTATCAGAACTTGCCTCCGTCCAGACCTTTGAATATATGCCCCACTCCACCTTGTTGACTGACTCCCCCTATCCGACCAACAGGACATTGTTGGTTTATTTGATAGATAGATAGATACTTTAT